CCGGGGAGGATCAGCAATTACAAGAGTCTCTCATGGTATGATGCTCTCCAAGATTAGGAGTCAATCTGCCCAATCAACCAGGAATTTAGAGAATAGCTTCATTTTATAGATAAACCCTTTAACGCTTTCATTCTTATTCAAAATCAGTCCAGCTGTTAGTCTGAAGCTGCAGAAGTTACAATACCAAGTCCTGGCAGCTGCTGCAGCACTAGGTATTGTGTCTGCAAGTCATTAAAAAAAAAAAAAAAGAAGAAAAATGAAAGAATGCCTTTCCGCTTCAGGGCAAAAAAATTTTTTTAAATAAAAAACTTGGGAAAGTATGACAGTAAATCTAAAATGATTTGCAAAGGAATATTATGTAACAAATGGTTTGAAGTAGTCTATTAAAAAATTGGGGAGATTTTGATTTCATAGTGAGTCAGCAAGGCATTTTTTTTGTTTTTTAAAAAATCTCATTTCCTTACAGAAACAGTTTATAGTTTTTAATGAATTTGTAAACAAAAAAGCTCCCATTTCAAAATAAAAACAAAATCCCAGATCATATAGATGTTTACAGTGATTACATTTATCTAAGCAACATACATACATGTTCAGTTGTAAGATGTTAACTAAATTTGTGACAAATATGCGTTTTTTTTTAATACCAAGAACATTATAGAGTTAATGCAGAGTCCTAAGGATAATCTAGTAGTCACTAAGTTTTCTTAAGTCTTCACTTAGACGCTGTTTCTCTAGCACAGGTAAGCAGGCAGAGTCTTCCATATGCTCAAACACTGGAATCTTTGGTTGCTACCATATCAGCTGGCTTGCAGACAAGAAGCCAACCATTTTAAGAATGTTTTAAGTGAACAACTTGCAAACCCCAGGGATGGATAAACCCTAAGAATGCACAATTGTGAGCATTTACAACCATCACAACTGTGGCTGAAGACTGTTCATGCCGTTCTTCTGAAATGAGATCTCAAAGCAGTATACTTCAAAATTAAAGATTTTAACAAAAAATTGGCATATGCACAATTTCTCCACCAATTTGTGTGTGTCAACCATTTAGTGAACTTTTCCACTTGAAAAAATGCAATAGAAAACTGACACCATGTTTCACTATCTCAGTTAATATTCACAATTACAGCGGCTACAACTCAGGACACAGCATCCATCACCAATGCTGCCCAGAGCCAGTTTATACTGAAATTAAGTTCTTTACACCAAGTAAATGGTTGTCCACAACCACTGGCTAGTGTACATATGAACTAAAATTTCTAGATTTGGGGAGAAACAAATGCTGCTCCGATCATCTGCTCTGCTTCTTCTGTTCCTTGATTCATGCTTAGAAACCTATTAAAAAAAAAAAATCAAAACAGAAAAACAGGTTAAAATCCAAGTTAAGTAAATTTTCTTAACCATACCCAAAGTAGGGAAATAACTACTTTAGAATGATGACTCATGCTATTCTCATCTATTTGAAAACCACCAGGTCAGGCCAACTGTTTAAAATTAAGAAAACGGGAAACTTCTGTTCTGGATGCCTCTAGGCAGGAGTGGTATACAAAGCCTTCCAGTCCAGCATACAATTCTCAGGATGGAGAATTAGTGTTAATTCCAATAAGCCTATTCACTTTACTTCTGTATTTCTAGTACCTAGAATACTTTATATGTGTTTGTCAAGTAAAAAATAAAAAGATTGCTTTATCAACTAGAAAATATAGTTTTAATCACACTATGAGCAAAAACTTTTCCATACATTATTTCTGATATGAATGAGGGACAAAAGGCTTTACTAACAAATGTATTAAAAGCACAACTATCTGAGTTATTTCACTGAACACAAATCTGGCAATAAGTATATGGTTTTTATACAGGAACCACAGACCTTTAAAAATTCTTTATCAGTTACATTAAAAACACCAGTTTTTACCACTGATCTGATATGTAAATGAATGAGGCCTTCTGGCTTTTCTTCAAGCCTCCTCACTCTGTAAATATACCCCTCCTATTTCACAAATTAGACCTTAGGGCTACTACATAAAGGCAGGTTTGAATAGGACGAGGCTTCAGGTATATAATTGCCATGTTCTACCTACAGCTGAAGACAATCAGAGGAACTATGTCTATCTCTAATGCCTATAAGCTTTATGTGTAGCTAAAAGAAATATACTGTCTCTCAACATCAGGAATATCCCATCAGCACCTTCTCTCACCTAGAGGCATCAATGCCCTCTTGGTCCAATTTCTTCTCTTAAAGCCAATATAATGTATATATATATAATTCTAGCTTACTCCATTGACTCACTCACTTCCTCAGCACAAATTATGTTTTGCCAAAAATAAGCTTTTTTTTGGTACTTCAACATTTTTAGGACCATCTCTGACAGGTTTTGTGCGATAAATGAAACAGTTCTGTAATTTACTTTTCCTGCATGTATGTCTTTGCTTTTTCATTTAAGGGCAGAAAGTCATCTTTATTCACATAAAAACCAGATTGTGACAAGCCCCGAAGGCAAAGGTGTGAGTACTTCTCTGTCTCTGCATAATGCCCAACAGCAAAGCAGGTGTGCTGCCTACCTCTGCCACCCATCCCAGTACTAAGTTCACAAAGCAAACGCTAAAAACGAAAGAAAAACCTTTCTGAAAATGTAGTTTATCACAACAAATACCACCTTGCTGATGCATATTAATCAGGATTAGCAGTACAACCACAAAAAGGCTGTCAGATCAAACGAATTAAAAAAATTCTGACTGTAAGTTTCAACTTAGTTTCAATGTTAAAATACAGAATATTTTGAAGCAGATTGAAACTATGGGTTAGCTAAATAGCAATGAGCCTTATCCTGATGAGGATCTGGTTTCAAGTCTTGCAATTATTGAAAAATACAGTAAAAATGTTTTCACAACCACTACGATTGCTGGGTCTTCATTTATCACAGCTTCTTACATGATTACATTACAGTGCATAATTTAATTATGTATCCACCTAACTTCTCAAAAGCTTACTGTATCCTACTTCATATAGGAAAGACCTACATTAGTACCTATTTTAACTAACCAGAAGAAATTAAAAGATTTTTTGCTTTTACAAAAAAAAGGCAAAATCAAAAACAGTGTTCAGCGTTTCACAGCAGACCTAGAGGAAGTATGCACCTTGAGAGTAAGAATGGCACCACCAAGTTCTTTCCCCGGGAACTGCTCTCAGCCCTTAAGTCGCCACAGCTCTGAACTGTGTCTGCTAGCATCTAAGCATTACCTCAATGTATCAGCAACATGTATCCTAAGGTAACTTGTTTTTTCCCTTTATGTCATGCAGCTTTGGAAAAGTTTCAAGAACACCCTACTTTCAGGTAGAGGGCACACCTGTACTATGCTGAATATCCAAACAGCTTTAAAATAAAAACCACTAACAAACTAAAAAGAAAACGTAAGTTACATCATCAGTCAACGTATTAGAAAACTCTTGTCTTTAATAAGGATAAGAATTATATCTGTTCATCTTTTTAATCTTATATTTGAAGAACTACTGGGTTAATTAATGATTACAATTGTTTAGGGACTGGTTAAAGGCTGGCCTAATAATATTCCTGGTAGAAGAGAGGAGTCAAATCCAGATTAAACTCTTCAGATGGGACAATGGTAGGATGTTCCACCCAGAGATCAATGTTTCTCCGGTGAATTGTCCTAAAATGTTACAGATGTTTGTTTAGGAAAAAATCTCAATAGGAGCATTCAGCAGGTATTCAATATTCAATCTTCAAGTATTCTTTTCCCCAGTGTGCATTAGTCCTTGGTTTGTCTTGTAGTTCAGGTGGTGTCTCCTGGCTTCTAAAAGTCCAAAACCCATCTTCATCACAACAGTTAAAATAAGGAATGAATCCATTTGTTCCTAAAAAGAAAAAAGAAAGAGGAGGAGGGAAAAGTTAAAACAAGGCTGGAGGACTAATGTGACAAACTCAGGAGTAGCTACATTTAAGATTTAACAAATCTGCAAAAGAAGGAAAAATGCTCATTTGTATACAATTAATCAGGAGATTCTATCCCTCAGTCCAATATCTTAAAAAGTATATATTTGATCCTATTTGTAAATTAACTTCATATGAACTTGACTTTGTTTTTCAACAGAACCACAAACTAGTTCAAAGAGATATTTATCTAGTAAGAGTAAGTCTAGGAAGTTTGTGATGAGCTTTTAAAATTCAGAAATCCTTAATAAGACATTACTTTTGACAAAAATATTGACTATAATATTTATATTCACTATGAATGCCATTTATATTAATAAACTTTTCCCCTTTTCCTATAACACGCTTGTGTAGTTTTTTTGTTTGTGCACAATCAGAATTAAGCTTGAAGAATTCTGAATCAGACTGACAATATAAAAGTTAAAGAAAAACAAAAAACAAAACATCAAAGAAAGAAGAGCTACAATAATTCTTCCTTTTCCACAGAAACTAAAATGTATTCAGTTGGGAAAGATAAGGGAAACATTTTTATCACTACAAACAAAATAGATGACAACTTAATACAGGGGGTACACATCATCCTTACACTGCATTTTAAAAAGACTGGATGATCTGATTTCTTGTCTTTTCTTTTACGCAATTAATTCTGCTACAGATTTTGAAGGATGTGAATTTTAAAATACCTGTTACAACTGATTCCTTCCCCAATTGGTAGATGGTCTGCATTATACACCACTGAGTCAGCAGCACTGTGCTCTTCTAGGTCTTCTGACTGTTGTTCCAGGTCTTCTGTTGTTTCCAATCTGATAAGTTGAAAAGTTTGATAGGTCCAGCAAGCCTTAGAGATGTGGGCTTTAGATCATGTCAAATCAACTCTTAAGCAATCATCTTCATTTCCTGTTGGGTTATTTGGTTCTCTTTTCTCCAGCTTTATTGTCCGCAGTGAAAAAACACCTGATAAAAATTTCAGCAGCAGCTGAAACAGATGCAGCTCCCTGCCAACTCCTCTGGATTGAGAGTATTCAGAGCAAAGCAGTCTCTCCAGATATTTCAAGGTCTTCCCCTGTCATCTGGTTTATGCTGCTGAATGACCAGCCACGTTCCTGGCAGCAATTGGTGAAGCCAGAAAAAATTAAACTGGACATAAATGGTAAGAGAAGCCCAGTAAATACTGGAAGGTAATTCAAGGAAGATCATGGACATGTAGCATAATGTGATGGAAAAAGTATTTCTTATCTATTAAATGCCAACAATTTGACATCCATTTACATTATGATACAGTTATGCTTAGTAGCCAGTCGAATAGTAAACAGATGGGTTAAGATGATGAGAGTAATAGAATTCTGAGAGGATTCCCCCTTTGGCTTTGCTACCTTCTGCAATTTTCCCCATCTCTGCCCTATACTAAAGAAACAGTGAACTTAGGTGAATTCTGAATGTCCCAAAAATATTTCTCTTTCCTTTACTATGTCTTAAATGTCCTGAAAAGTACCTTCCCTATAATCAATACAGTTGAATAAAAGGGAGTGGAAATGCATTTGGAAGTGTACCAGATGTAAATCTTTTCTTTTCCTCTTTAACCTGGATAAAAACAGTAACTGTAATCTCATAGCACCTGAGCACTTAAAAACAGTAGCAATCACAGCCAGCTTTACAGGAGATGCCTTGTTTCTTAGTCTTTTGATGGCCTCTGAAATGGAGTATTTCAAAAGATCTTTACAAAAGTAAATACAAGTGTATTACGCATAGCAAGTCCATTTTAGCCAAGTCAGACTTTGAAGTCTTTGCACGTTCTTAGTCAACTGCTAAAACAACTTATAGCTTTTGATGGAAGAAATATCGGACATGGATTTCCCCAATATTATTATATAAAACATATTAGTAAAAGCCATTTGGGGGATCCCCCCACCCCGGAATGCATGTGCTTGCAATACAGAGATTTACCTAAAAACTTACAGTAGGGGATCCTAAGAGAAGAGATGCCTTCAAACACCTTTATTACTTAGAAACTCCAAGCTTCACAGGAGATTTCTTACTGGATGACCCAGATAATGGAGTTGTGCGTAGAGGTTGGTTAGGGGGAATAGATTCTCCATTTCATGCCACCTTCAAGCTTTCATGGCTTTATATATGGGTGGGTTTGTGGAAGATCTGGTTAGGGCACTAAGTTTTATATCCCAAATAAAACAAGTTAAAGAATTTTGTTCTTAGTAGCCTGTGGTGATAATGTGGTATATTTTATGAATCATCCATGTTTGTGTGATATTTGTATAACCCCAGTGTCTAATAACGCTATGGAATTTCCCCAAGATTTTAAGTTGCTTTTATAAAAAATGGCTACAATACAAAATAGGGATTAAACTTCAGTTTAATAACAATTTTTTTCGAAGGAAACATACTAACTCAGCGGATCCAGCTTTTCATCTTTTAGACCTGGATAAGGCAGGACAAAAATTCTGCTTGTTTATTGAGTAAGAGACACAGTAAACTAACAACCAAACTAGCTCAAAATAAGGTTATTCTTTCTGAAGGCTGCTGAATGCCTGAAGGAAGATGTTCTAGGTCAGATAAGATTTCAATCTAATTTTAGTTCTAGAAACTGCAACTTGTGATGATCCTATTATCCCAGCTAGCTTTAGGCAAAAATTGTTTCATTTTGTAAAAAAAGCAAATACACTGTAGGTGTCAGGTCCTCAGTTTAGAGTCTTTGTGGTCTTACCTAAATGGCAGAACCACTTCTTAGCAATACTAGCTAGCTTCCTACCTCATTAAGAACTTGTTGACACTATGATTTAAGTGAAGTCGCTCAGTCATGTCTGACTCTTTGCAACCCCATGGACTGTAGCCTACAAGGTTCCTCTGTCCATGGGATTTTCCAGGCAAGAGTACTGGAGTGGGTTGCCATTTCCTTCTCCAGGGGATCTTCCCAACCCAGGGATCGAACCCGGGTCTCCCTCATTGCAGGCAGATGCTTTACTGTCTGAGCCAGGCACTATGATTAGAAAGGGACAATTAAATCCCAACTATGATGCAGAGGCAGAGCACTGGACAAGCATTAGTGTTTGCCATCTCTAAGAACTCCCACTACATTAAACTTTCAACTCTGGATCCTTCCTAAATACAGAAACATGGAAGTGAACTACCGCAACTTCATTCTAATAGATGAGCTGCTGGGATGAGGATGACATCAGTCAACTATACTACTTGAACAGTATCCTCAGATTAGAACCTATTTTTTTTTTTTAGAACCTATTTTTATATTACAAAATTTTTAAAATGCAACACTAATAATAAGGACCAAAGAAGATCAAGTTCAGACTAGAGCAGTCATTCAGAAATTACATAATTAGAAACAAAAACAACAACAAAAAACCCAAACAAACCTTAGCCACCCACTACACTTTTAGGAAGTAGGCAGGTATCAGGAGTTAAGCCCCAGAAAGGGGAAAAGAAAGAAAGACAAATAACACAGGAATTGAACTGTGTGGCAACAGTGATAAGAAATGGTACTGTGTCCTAACAGTTCTACTCCTTAGTAGAATGTACTAACAATGCCAGAGAGAAAGAAGGGAAATAGACTAGCAGCCAAGTGGCATTCGCCCCAGTTTTCCTTTTTTTCCAATTTGCAAGGAGTTAACTGCAGAATTCAGTTCTACAGTAGACCCCATTTAGATCTTGAATATTTGTACAATTTTAAAAAACTGAAGCCCTAAGGAAAAAAATCCTTTTAAGAACACATGTTGGTAAATAGCAACTAAAAAAAAAAGAGAGAGAGATTTATTTTTGTGATGAGAAAGGATGTGTCGAGCTTTTCAGTTATTTGAGCATTTAAGAGATAAATGAGGTGCTCTGCAACTGAGAAGACAGACACTCCGGGAGCAATGCCAGACTCCCCCCTTGAAATTAGATAATGTTCTCAATGTTCCATTTTAAATGCTAAAGCATTAACATGCAGAAAATTCTTAACACTGTTAGTTGAAAAGTCAAAATACCATGGCTAACCAGATTTATTATTAAAAATCAACAAGTGTTAGGTCTAGGATTTTGGATTGATTGATTATACCATATTCCCAACACCGAATGTTTATTTTGGAAAGGGTTAATGAATGAGTAAAAAAGATGCAATTGTTAAAAAATGACCCAAAATCCCAAGAGAATGATATAATATACACACATATATGTATATACAAATACATATACATATATATATGAACAAGGACATTTGGGTTTAAAGTTAGTAGTCAAATTTTCCAAGGACGTCTTTTTTTAACAACAAAGAGCCAAATTTTTATGTATTTTAAAACCACCTCCTCGAACTAACACTGTTAGAAACAGATGAATTACCCAATTTTGTGTTCAATTTTTTTTCCCTGTAACGTCACTTGGTTCTTGGCTACTAACCTTTCATGTTACTCTTGGTTTTGTCAGTTTGCTTGCCTGTGGGGGTTTGGGCCTGCTGACCCTGCCCACTTGAAGAGGCTGCCTGCTGTGCTGCTTTCTGCTTTAACATTGTCCAATCAAATGTGTAGTCATATTGGTGATTCAGGGTCCTAGAAAATATAAAATTTTATGTTAATCCATTAAAAACAAGGTCCAATACTGAACTTTCAAAACAGTGACGAATTTCTTTTCTTTGTGGTAGCTCCTGTAAGATTTCTTTCCCTATAGTTGCCTTCCTTTTTGATTAATTAATTCCACTTTTTACATATTATGATTGGAGGGAAATGTCACCACTTTGGTCTGCTGTATTCAAGAATAATTAAATCCTCTCCCTTTTCAAAAAGAAGCTGCCTTTAAACTTTTTTGAAAGGAGCAGGGGAGTGGGAATGAAGGGCAGCATGAGAGAATTCCCCAATGGTCCAGTGGTTAGGGTTCCATGCTTTCACTGCCAAGGATGGTGGTTCTATCCCTGGCTGGGGAACTAAGATCCCAGAAGCTGCTCTGTGCAGTCAAAAAAAAGGAGAGCAGCATGAACAACAAAAATACTGAGTCAAGCTATCAGTTATCTGGGGGAATATTCATAACAGACGGTACCCCCTGAAGACAAATCAGAGTACACACGGAACTGTTAAAGTTTGAGAGACAGATGTCTATGCTGACTTTGTCTATGCAAGACTTTTGTAGGATTAGAGGATTATCCCTAATTCTTCTCTTCCAACCAAGATTTTTGAGTCACATGTACTTTATTTTTCCCTTTTGTTTAAGACCAATTATGGGTTGTTTACCTAGGGACCCTAGAGTTTGGGCCTACCTCTACAGTATCATAAACTTTGCCTGATTTTTAATTGTTATTCATTTTGGTATTAAACAGGATTCTCTACCAAGTTGGAGAGTCCCCAGTTCCACCAACAGTTACTTGTATCTAATACTTACATTCTACTTTGAGCAAGATTCAATGGTTTCTCCATCTGAAACTACAACATTTCAAGGACATTTGGAAATAAAAAAATGTCAGCCTCACAGTTCCTTAACATTTCATTCATATTGGTTAGATCCGCTTTTATCTGCAACTTGTCAGAACAGGTATGTTGGGTGGATTGAACTAATTTCCCTCATTGGAGTTTACAGTCTTAAAAACTGACCTGAAAAGAATGCGGAATAGCTGCCTCAGGTACATGTAATCCGGGGCTTCCTCAAAGCGCAGCCCACGACAATAGTTTAAGTACATGGCAAATTCTGCAGGAAATCCCTACAAGTTCAAGAGTTAAAACATAACATTAAAAAAACAACAAAAAACTCAATTCTAAGAAAATTCAGTGTTTTTAAACACAAGCAAGAAACACATTTTAGGTATCTTACTTCTTTGCTGGATGATCTGAGAACTAAAAAAACAATTATGACTTGTTATCCACACGAATTTAACAAAATTTCATCATCCAGACCACCTTACTATGTATAGTATCTTTAAGTATTGGTAAAGGAAAATGCATATCCTTTTCTTACAGTATCAGGTTCTTAAATAATTTAGATACCAGACTTCCTAACCTATTAGTTTATCAACGTCCAGTAACTGGATGGCAACAAAGAATAACTAAAATGAGGCCTGTAATGTTTGCCAGAACAGGACAATGAATGGGTACTCTTTCTCCATTCTGAAATTACTTTAGAAATGCAAACTATTAAAACAAAAACTCCCAAGTCTCTTCCCCTTGAGTAAATGTGAATGTGAAGGGTGATGAGTTACAGAGGCAGTCTCTTCCCACAACTTTATGGTTTTGAGAAATTTCTCATATACAGAAGATAGGATAAAATGTGTGTAACATTTATTTTTATTGATTATACTGATAGAAACAAATTTAATTTTTACAAAGTACTTTTATGCTATGTCATTTTTGGTGGACAGTTAAAAATAAAACATACTGCACATTTTAATTTTTAAAAAACTCGTAACAGGGCTTTTCATTTTTTAATATATATTCAGAGGCTGTATTAATAGTATTCCATATTTATCATATGAACTTGCTTTTACAAAAGAAAACTACCAACGTAAGTGTTACATGGTAAGTTATTGGGTGAACTATAACATACGAGTATTTTATTCATTAGCCTAAAATTTATTTCATTATTTAAAACAAAGACCCTCAGAAAGGGTCTTATTTTCTCAACCCATCCCCTCAATTCCTGCAGATATGCAGAAAAGGTGAAAACCAATTTGTAGGTGGGGAGACACATAAAGACATCACCATTTTACACCCTTCCACAAAGTGCAATTTCAACTCATGCTGATTTCTCCCTTCTACCAGATAAATATATAATTATGCATTGTTTTCTAATTATTTCAGGTATACAACTGTCACAAAGATGACCATGTGGTCTTCTTTCTATGGAAGAGACATCATGACACAAGTATCTTTCTATTCTCAACTCACATGCTTCTCTATAATGCTTGAGATTTCAGAGAAATGAGCCTGATTCAAACTGCCATCTATATACTACTGGATACTTCCTATTTTTGGATTGTTCTAATCTGTTTGCCTTTGTTTCCCTAACTTCTCAATATGCCAGCTGTGGATATTCTTTCTTCTCTGGCACCAGCTCAGGAATAAGAATATTTCTTACTCACAAATCAGTGAGGTTCTATTAGAAAAGTTTACCCGCTCTCTTATTTTTTCTCTAATTTAAAACGGATCATATGGCATGTAAACCAGAAACACAATTATTTAAAATGACTCATATGTTCAAGTCATTCTTAAAAATACCAAGAATCAACCAAAAGTAAAGTTAAAACAGTAAACAGTTACTCAATAGGAAGTTTAAGTTCGGAGGCTGGGAAATAAAATGTTCATTTTGGTTTTGGATCATTCATATTTTTAAACAAATCATCAGTGTACACTTACCTTACATAAAACTTCAACAGGTGTGGACATCTTCTTTTCACTAATTTTTTCATATTTTTGTTTCTTTGTTGCAGCCTGTGGAGAATAAGAAACAAACCACACAAACATACTCAATATTACGAGAAGATAAACTAAACTTATTAGTTTAACATGTTACACATAAAAATAAACTTGAGATTCAAGAGGAATCATAACCTAGGAAAAAAAGGAATGAAAGCATAATACATTTAAAATTTTCCCCCTAAGCTGTTAACTTTTCATATGACTTTCTGCTTCAAGAATGTTTTTAGCTAATAGGAAAGACTAAGTCTACAGGAACATTAAAATATATGATTTAAGTAAAAATAGGTGGGCTCAAATTTTAAATTAGATTCCTTAACCCATGTTCAGCAAGGGCAATGGTATAAGCAGATCAATACCAAACAAATGTGCCCATCATTTAGTTAACATTAACAACTGTTGTTACTTTTCCAGTGTAAAAATATTCACATTGGATAAAGCTACCTACACAACACCAAGCAATTTGTCAAGCTCAATAAACATACAGACTATTTACCTTGAAAGAACCAATAAAGTACCTAAATAGCCATTAAATTCTTGAACACAGTAATTTATCATTAATTTATGAATACAAAGGCAATGGCAAAACTCCTAATTAAAGGAAACAGGTAAAATGTTAGGACAATTAAATAATATAGAATTACTGGATAAACTAGTTCTGCTGTACAGAAAAGTAAACATTTTCAACTTAATGGCAACACACTAAAACAAAAAGCAGGCAACTTGAATCTAGTTTACCTTTAATCCTTGCCATGGCAGGCTGGTTCTATTAAAATACATCAAAACATATCCTAATGATTCCATGTCATCTCGGCGACTAGAAAAGGAAATGTAAATTTATAAGCTGAAGTTATTATGAAGAACATGTGAAAGAAAGCCAGGTACACCAGGAGAAACGTTCCCAAGCGAGGATAGAGAGTAATTTGTCATCATGAGCAACTTAAGGTAATTTTTAAAAAGTTCCTAATGGGTTACTTCTAAACAAAATTTTCTCATAGAATTCAAAATTATAAAATCCAACATGATCCTGCAACTTAACTTTTACAGAGAAAAAAGAATTTAGCTAAATAACTTTCTTCTCATGAATTTCCCTAACCTGGAAGTGTATAATTTGTCATTTCTACGCTTATTTTAAGGGGTAAAAAGAAAAATGATTGACAAAAGATGAAAGTAGATGAAAAACTAGAATTCAAGTCAAAAAACAGAACGAGCACAGAAATTATGACAGTGTTTAAAGCAAATCCTTTATGTAGGGGTGGAAGAGGAGAACGGAGGATGGTCCACCAATCAAATTTTGATTCATTAGGAATCATGTAGTATTTTCCGTATGAAAATAACCAATACATTCTTTCCCCAAACGCAGCTCGCATCACTAATATACAAAAAGCACAAGATCACCATTAAGGAAAAAAGTATTCTTTTAGCTGCAGAAATAAAGTTGCCTTTACACTTCTAACTTCCAAGGTGCAGTATTTCCTCCTCAAGAGACAAGTTTCAACAAAGGAAAACAAAAAGGCCTCATTTAATTGGCTTCTCTGCACTGTCTAAAGAAGCAGGTAAAGGATTAATAAGTGTCTTTCAAATCTTCAGCCAAGAGGCAAATTTAGATATTATAAGAAACTAAGTAAAATATTTCAAAAACCCATCAATGGCTTTTGCTAGGGATTTGATAAACACACTCATTCCAGACTCACCTCTGCTCAATACCAAGATGTGCGTTGATGCTGGCATACCGAGCGGTGCCGGTGAGGTTCTTATCTTCTCTGTACGGTATGTGTTGCCTGGTCCTGTTGTCTCTGTACTTTTTGGCCAAACCAAAATCAATAAGGAATAACTTTAAAAGAAAATAAAGAGACATTAGATTCCCAATCTTGTTCAAACTGCTTCTTATTTATTAAATGGCATTTATTCTATTTTGTTCAACCGTATCAAAGCATCGTAAGCAGAACAGATAATGAACAAACTTAACATTCCAATAAGCTTTTACTAGACCTCATCAATAAATCAGGTTTAAAAAAAATACAGTTACATCAAGCGGCTGATCCCTGTCAGCTGAACAATTTCACAGGCCCAGCTCATTAGACATTCAGAAGCCTGTCTCTGGAACCTCCAACGTAGTGGAGAACTTGTACACGTGCTCGACAGCAGAGCTGCTGACAAGTGTGCTGTGTGCCATAATGAAGCCTGACATCCTGTTACTAGTGGTGAACAAGCATGGGGTTAAAAAAACAAACTAGACATAAGCCACCTGGAACTCTTCCATTCTACAAAGGCCACTCTAGTATGTCAACAGAATGTTCATTATCTGAAATAAGACAACTCTGAAAGTTTGATAGTGACAATAAAACCAGGATTTTTATTTATAAGTAAGTACTTTAAAACAAGCATACACTTCATTTTATTCCCAAATGACATTTACACATGTGATCGGCTTAAGCTTCTGGAAAATATAACAAGTTGATCTATTACTTAAGTCAAGGTGGCTTACAATTAGCAGCTAACTAAAAACCAAAGTATTAATAGTATCTCAAAACAAAATAACATTTAGTGCTGTTTCATTTATATGACACACAGGGAATAAGATGTTCATTTATAATGTAGCTAATTTTTAGAAGTAATTCAGGTTTATTCTCCATGATTAAAACTTTTATAAGAAGAAGAAAAGAAGCAAAAGTATTTTTAGGGGAAAAAACCCAAAATATGTTCATATTTACCTACCTTCTAAAGCAAAATAATCTTAACTAAAAATTTTATCTAGCCTTTACCATAAAATCATTTATTTAAAGTTATGCCTACAAAATTTATTAAGCAAAGCAGGTCTATGTGCTCTTACACTATGTGGCCCTACACTATTCTTTTCTAGTTACACCTCCATTTTGTACTTTTTCTTCCTATTAGGCTGACATTGGGCCCCTTCTGCTACAGTTTACAGTGTGTGATGTACTGGGAAACATGATCACCTAGCCTGTTAGGGTCTGCCTCAAAAAATAAATAAAGCAAATTACTGATTTAAGTGGAAAAGATACCACCAAGTGCTTCTTTTAGAAAGATGAAAAATACTTATTGCAGGCAGGCACTATAATCTAGCCTCAGTTAGACACTGGGTAGAAAAGACTGAGATTTGTGCTTCTGTAACCATGTTAACATTGAAGTACTTATTTTCATCTAGTCTATTACAAAGAATAAAGATTAAATTTTCAGTAAAATGTAATTGGATAATGAAAGTTCTTTAGTATGATTAAATGACTGAACAACTGAGTTACTATAAAATAGGAACAGAGAAATTAATGTTATAAATCAGTAAGAGAAATAAAAGACTTTAAAAGTATGAGCTTTGTTTCTTTTGATATGAAAACTGGCTCAGTACTCAAATATTAAAACAAGCAATATATATTTCTGTTAAGCAGAACAAAAATTATGACTAAGCTCTACAGATTCACACCGAAAAGAAAACAAAGGAAAAACAAACACAAAAGGACATCCACCTTTATAGCATTTAAAAACTATCTCTAAGAATTATGTGAGTTATGAATAAAAAGTGATTAGGACAGACTTTCTTCTAAGGACTATCTTCTGAGATTGCTTTCTTTAGTACTCCAAAATGGAGGAGAAAACAATAACCAACTCTGATAGGGTTAAGTCTGACAGTTATTCATTCATGTCTAGATTCAATAACTTCATGTGCAACTCAATAATCACTTTCTTAACAACTGGAAGACTCTGAGAATTCTTCCCTTCCACAACTCTAAAGGACAAAATCTAACTTATCAAGGAAACAAAAATGAAACACTATCTTCTTAAGAATCTCAGTATCAAAGCAAAAAATTACAAAGCAAATGAATTTAAAATTTTCTCCTCCTATAAAAACTGAAAATAAGTGAGGGACACTGATAAAAAGGTATTCCATTTGAAGAGGAAAACAACTGAAAACTACTTAAAATTTAAAAAGTTTAAATCTCTTGATAGTTCATTATCTAATGGTACCTATTCATGCATGCTTCTTTAGTAGCTCTCCATGCATCGAATTTAAAATGAATAAAAACATACATAAACGGGAAATGTTTACATGAAACCATGTGATACCAAGGATACAACCAAAATAGCCACAGATATGTAAAACCAAACAAGGAAAAGTCAATATCCAATGTCATAAAATACTTTTTTATAGGTCTGCATATACAAACAAGACATCTAAACTCTTTGGTGGTCAAGCTGCCTTTTTGTGGATTTTTTAACTACATGTTCAAAAATTTGTGCCTGTTTTAAAGAAAGCAGCATATTCTTCAAAGGCATATAGAAATGAGTTAATGTTGGGTATACTGGGAAAACTCATTTAGGAGAGGTATATTTTCTTCAGAAATACTATTGCCTGTTTTAGGTTTTGGTATTTGCAACCATCTTTCTCTTCACCAGCGGTCATATTTCCTTTCCCTTTTAAGAATTCACAGGATCACTTTTCCTTATAACCCAGAAAACCTATCACTATAAGTAATTATGCTGTAAGATATGAGTAAATTGTGTGAATGTATATGGATAAGAAAAAATAGGGCAGTAAAGTTGCCTTACAATGTACCTAATTACCCACCATTCTCTCTCTGCCCAGTCAAGATCTAGTTAACACAGTTGGTTATTTCTTTGTCTGTGAATAAAAATAAAACCCAACTTCTAAAACCTTTTTAACAGCAGGAGAACATAGTTCCTGATATAATGCTGGGCAGTTTGGAAAAGGATTAAATGATTGCCCAGATGATACATGTGGTTTAATAAGGAAACTACAAAGTATGCTCACAAAAATGCAATTTTTTTCCTTTTTTGATACTTATGTCAACATTTACTTCTCAGTGTATACTACTGATAAAGATTCATTCATTCAGGAGCTTCAAAAATTAAGTACCTAGGTGGTGTTGATTTTTTTAAAATTTATTTTCCTTTGTTTATCTGAAAATTCATACAATAAATAAAGCCAGCTTCCCAATAGTAAATGAAGAGTAAGTGAAAAGCTTCCTTACATTAAAAAAAATTTAGAAAATTTGAGTGTTTTATCTAGCCTGCCAAATATAAATCATTAGGTTATACATCTGTTTATCTTATTTATGTGTTATTAATGTTAATTGATAAGTGCTTCAATTATGTTATCATTAGAATGCAGTGCATTCTAGTTCCAGAGTATATAATGATCTTTAAGCATTTTATGCTACTTGGTTGAAGTTGAGAGAATTCTCATACTGAAGCAATCGATTCTAAAACAAACTATATCTGAAATCTGATACACAGTTAACTCCTGAAGTTCATTAGGGAAGGGGAAGAGTTGAGGCAGAATATCATCATTCAGCAGTGATGCAACTCCAAATTATTTTTTAAAAATTGAACAGTCTATCTCAAATCTACCACTAGCTAAACAATATCAATGTTAGACCAACATATTTCCTCTTGTGGATGTTAGAGATCTAAACATAATCCTGTTTTCATTTAGGTTTTCTCTAAGTTTTACAAGCTTTAAGCAAAAGCCATAAAGAAATATCTTAGTAATGTTATATGTTTGCCAAGTATGTCTGAATAATGCCAACGTAAGAGGTGCTTGAGCAAGATCTATATTCTCCAGAATTAAAACAAACAAAAATAATCAAACAATAAGAAAGAAAAGCACATGAATTTGGGATTGAGGTTGGAATAGGAGACAGTTTCAGACCTGGTTTAATCCTGAGAAAGATGGGTCCTGAGAAGTACTAACAGTCATGCTTCTTTTCCTCTTCCCCACTGGAGATTCTAAACACTAAACAGACAATAGAGGGTGGCAGTGCATCAAACAGTATTGCTTACATTGCAACAATGGCCGGCGCAGACAGGCAACACCGAGGCATTAGAGAAAGAACAGGGTAGCCAAATGCCATCCTTCTTCCACCAAGCACTGTAGCTTCTCAGTTTTCCAAATAAGAATCACATGCTTCAGAACATTTGAATTCTGGAAAGTATTCAGGTTTTTAATGCCACTATATTGTGTCACTGCCTGAGACAGGGATAGCAATGGTGACATTTGGCTCTTTAATTTTTAATACAAAACAGGGAATTTGGATCTGCAATCTTTGGCACCACAATCTGCCCTTCCCCTAAAAAAAGATTGCACGGGGGGGGGGGGGGAAATCTTCAGTAAGGAAGAGGTAGAAGGCATTTAGTCACCTTAAAATTTATTTCCATAAGCATGCAGGGCTGATTACTGGAAGAGTTGAGCAAATTCACTACGGTTGGAGTGACTACTCCTAAATATCAAATTCAGAACAATTTTCCAAATAAGAAATTTGATTTTAAAAATCAACCTCAAATGCCCCCCCACCCCCAACTCTACCCACAAATAGAAAACTACTACAACAAGCTGACCAAAGAATCCAGTCTCATAGGACTGGAATATTTCAAACTACAATACAGAAAACACTAAAAACCAACTACATAAACAAACACTAACCTAAAATGTTCAAGAACAACATTCAGAATCTTAGGTAAAACACTGCACTTCTAAACCTATGGTCTCTCTGAATCTGTGTAACAGCAAAGCAATTTCACAATCTTCTTTTTAGTATCTCTAAAAGAGGACACAAGATTCTAAAAAGGTTTACCTATCACTGGGCAATCTGGATTTCCTAACACAACTAAGTGATTAATAAGCTATTTGGGGCGGGGTGGGGAAGCAAAGACATTATCTGGACTATCATTAAGTTTAAGACAAACCATGTACTGCAACATCAACATGCAGAACATGGATTACATGAGGATAGAGGGTCTTTAGAAGAAGAAAATGGGAAGAAAAGGCTGGGAAATGGTCAAAAGATTAGGGTCATTCTGACAAAATTGCCTGCCAAAATTAAGACTAGTAATATTTCAATTAAATTAACCAGGTTTTAAAATAACAAGAACCTGGATGCTTCAAAGAGAGAAGCCACATAATATTTAAAAAAAGAAAAAAGATGTGATTTGGGAATGGCAAGAAAGGTTACATGTAGACTTAAACACCTTCTATCATTTAAAGCTCAGCTTTTAAGAAAAATAAAATTAAACTCCTAAAACCTGGTCAGACCAACATTAATGTCTCACGCATTAACAAGTAACACCACTTCTAATGGTAATGGCTCCAAGTTGGCATTCATACAGGCAAACAAAGGTAAACATTTATAGCTGGACCTAAAAACATCAAACATTCCCTAATGACTAAATAAAACAAATAGGAATGTTCCTTCCAAAAACAAAACAAAAAACACAAAAACCCCCAAGTTGTCCTGAAGTTGAGAATTTCTATCAGATCGTCAGATCATAACATGCTTAGTGCATTGCCAATGCTGCCTGTCTGCCCGAGCTCAACAATTGAAAATAAAAGCAATTCACTCAGTAAAACTAATCATTGCAGAAAATTGTCAACACAATTAGTTTCTAACTGCAATCATGCGTCACTAGCTAAAACCCAATCACCCCGTAAGTTCAACCATTCTGTGGCCCCCGATGAACACTAATTTCATTGTATGAAAGTTCATTTCACTTGTCTACACTTTCCTTTGAACAGGAGAGAAGAGGGGTGGAGACCCCACCCAAATAAACTGTCAAACTACTTTTGAAACAGGCCCAAAAGTTATCCTTTTGAATACACAGATCCAAGGACTGAAGAATTCTCATTATCAACCTTGCTCAGTCAGCAAATGTTAACGCCATGGTGACAGATGGGTGGGACAGTGGTTCCCACATTGGCACAAGCACATATATTGCAAAAACCCACACTTCAGAAAGAAAGGTTAAAATCTGATTTTTAGCATTCAGGCAGAAAAGTATATGGGTATATGGGTTTTTTGTTTGTTTGTTTGCTATTCGAATGAATGAAAAATACATACAATAATATAGATGATTACATTTCATTATAAAGCCCTTGGAATTTTATATTTCTATATAAATAACTAACTTTGGTTGGGTTAAGTTGGAGAGAATTTATTTCAAGTTACTAAGTTAATGGATTAGCCTTCTAGTACAATCTTTTAAAACAATTATCAATAGCAAATTCAACTTCCTATGACTTTTTAAAAGACTTTAAAAGTTCACCAAAGTTCATCAAAGCAATTCTTGGAAGTTTTACTCTTTGTTCTTTCATGCAAAGAACATGTGACTAACCTTATTACAGTGACGCCCAATACCCATTAGGAAGTTATCTGGTTTAATGTCTCTGTGTATAAAATTCTTTGTATGCACATACTCGATTCTACTGATCATCTGGAAAAAAGAGGGGAGGAGAGAAAATCAAGTTAAGTGATTTGCACTAAGAAACAAAAGAAAGCAACATATTGTGTCTCAATTATTTCAATATGTCAATCATTTTTCAAGATCACAAGTATACTTTATTAACTTTATTTAGAGTTCAAAAAGACAATGCTAGACTAAATTAAAAAGGACAACCAGGCTCTGAATTTACCTCCAGACTAACAGATATACAAGCATAAACCAGCAGTTTCCTTTGAGCTTCTTCTTTCAATATGAATGATTATAAACATGACAGTACCTAACCTGATAGAACTGTTTTTTTTTTTAAATTACAAAAGTAATATACTTAGAATTGTTTCAGTCATTGAAAATTATATAAAGTAAACATCAATCCTATGCCCCTTGAGGTACCTGTGTAAAAAGCCTGGTATTACTCAGATCTATTTTCATCCTCTTCTATATGTACACACACAAACTTACATGTGCTTCAGAGTACAGGGTGTTGACCAACTGACAGATATAGTCATACATTGTTATTTCTTTAAACTAAAATAGTAGTCCACTCACTTTATTTTTGTTCACTGTTTTTAACTAATTATATCCCAAACATTTCTTGAAGTTGATACCATACAATGTAAGCATGTAACTTTAATACAAATGGGGACATATACATGCTGGGTTTCCTTTCTGGCATGCTTTTCGGACTCTCCCATGGTTTTTCTCCATATTTGTATGATCATATTCCAAAACTAACAAACATGGCATTCTAACAAGCTTTTAATTTCCTGGAAATTCTGCCAAGTCAAGTGGTATGGTCTTATCTTCTTTTTAATGAAGATAAATATTCTATGGCACAGACGGAAGTACTCCCCAATTGTCCCCAGTTATCCCCTAACTCACAGTACTAATGCTCAATTTCCAATATCCTCTCACCACAAACAGTAACACTATCAAAATACTTACATATCCTTATCTACTAGCACTTCTATTTCTGTGGGTTATAAATCCCCTATCATTGCAGGGAGAGTTGCTGCTTTGAAGGCAAACTGATTGCCTTCAAAATAGACTATAATTACTCATTTTTTCAGCAGTAGTGTTTTTTTCCCACTAGCAGTTATCTGTTTTTTCTAAATCTTGTCAGTTTTCACAGGTACTGACTTTACTTGTAAGTTCATAACAGTTAAAAAACATGCTCACTTTTACTGACCTTTTGGATTTAGTACTATACTGTGAACTGTCAATCCATACTTATCCATAATTTTTTTGGCTTGTCCTTTCCTCATCAGTTTTTAAGAATTCTTTGCATACAACAAACAATCTTTTATCAGTCATTTGTTACTTAAACAGATTTAAATTGAAAAAAATGTGTCATTTAACTCTGGTATTTCTTCTATAATAGTTTAAATTTCTAAGTTATCAATTATGTCTACCTTTTGGATAAATACAAGTTGTATCTGAAAATGTTTTCCATGTCCAAAGGCTGCCAACATTACCTTTCTGCCCATATGTTTTTCCTCTTCTTAGTAGTGTACGTCAGGATTCTATTTTTACTTGCCTGAATTTTCTCTAGAGCTTTTATCACCAAGGATATAAATTCTAAATCTTATTCCTCTACCTTGGCAAATGGCTTATGAAGGCAAATTGTAATCTCTGGCTTAAACTATACACTCAAGGAAATAGATGTATACAATGTTCAAATATCATCTTTAGGTACAGCAGTAATTCATATATTAAATAAGTAAAACAAAACATTTGTCTCACTTTTTGTACCAGTCAAGTACATAAAGTATTTGTTCTAGACTTGAAGTATTTGTTCTAGTCAAGTAATACTTATCATTAAACTATCAGTATTAACTCTGGGGGAAGGTCAGGCAAAAGATAAATTAACAGCACAAACTACAGACTACTCAAGTGTTGCCTGTCATTTACAGAGCAAGATCAGCTGGTTCTTTCTTAAACAGATGCCTTCCTACAACCCCCTTCCCTAAATTACATTATGTCTCTGATGTTACCAGAGTATACAACATAGACTTCTATGACAGAACCCATCCGTTTTTCTCCACTAACTCTATGTTACAAGAGGGAAGAAACTAGTTCTTATTTTTTGTACACTCCAGTGCTAAGTACAGTGGCAGACCCTGAATGAATGTTCATTGCATGTATGCCTATATGTTCTACAGAATACAAACTCTTTTATTAAGATTCGCGCACATGTCAGTTAAAGCGTACTAAGAAGTCATGTTTTATGCAAGGTCCTTGACATTTACCTGTTATCTCTGACCATAATAACTGTTTCCTCAAGGTCTGTTCCTGACCCCATTCTCCCATCTTAAAATTCTCTAAAACTGGTTTTCTTTTTTATTAACTTTAGCTAAAAAAAAAAAAAAAAAAAATCTAGCCTTGGGCTTTAAAACAATTTCATCCAACCTTAATCAATGCATAAATCCAATTCATGACATAAAAATTTCCATGGTTTTGCTTAAATATTACCAATTGCTGAGAATCCTGTAAGAAGCATCTACTTGGTCAAAAACTGTTCATTAAATTACTTCAGTACCTTATTTTCCTCAAAAATACACCTTTCATAAGGGTTCAACACATAATACCATTCAATTTGCTTAATCAAAATTTCAATATATATTTATTTATATTTGCATACACACAAACACTCCAAATCCATTCTTCAAACAAAATCTTACAAAGAAACCTGTTATACTCAACACTAAAACAAATATACTGTATGATGGGAGTAGCTCGAAAACTCTTTTAGTCTATAGGTGAATGAGTGAAGAGTGAAGTCACTCAGTCGTGTCCGACTCTCTGCAACCCCGTGGACTGCAGCCTACCAGGCTCCTCCATCCATGGGATTTTCCAGGCAAGAGTACTGGAGTGGGGTGCCATTGCCTTCTCCAGGCTATAAGTGAATAAACCAGTATAATTCATTTTTGTCATACCACAGGAAAACACCTGCAAGACTTATTAGAGTAACACACTTGAATGACTATACTTTTTAAAAAGTATATACAGGATTATAATACTCTGGTTTCTACACTGAAATTATAGTTAAGTAATACTAAACAGTAGTATTTCTTAGCTTTTATTTTCATAGAAGTTTCACTTACCTGGTCAGCTAACATAAGTACAGTTTTCATTGTGAACCTTCTTGAACAGAAATTGAAGAGGTCTTCAAGGCTGGGTCCAAGAAGATCCATAACTAGCACGTTATAGTCTTTTTCCTGACCATACCACCTAACAAAGAGGGAAAGAGGAAGGCATTATAAAAAGCTGATTATCACTTAACATCACCAAATTTTAAAAATGTAAGATAGTTTGCCTCTAGGTTTTTATTTAAGGTTGTTTTCCTCTATTTAGCTGATGACCCCACTTACTGACTACATTGCCCAACACAAAATAATGTATAAAGGGATTTTTTTCTGTCAAGCAACCCATTGTCCCATTAAGTTAGTACCTGTGTGGCAACCTTAAAATGCTTCTTAAGCACAGCAGCTGAATTCTCTATCCATCCACCATTAATTCCTGTAACCTTGGGCAAGTTTCTAAACCTCACCTGGTCTTACTTTTTAATTGAAAAAATGAAGGAGATTTTTATCAGTCATTCCAAAATGTTTCAGAGCGTAAATATCCATTTTATTATAACTCTTGTCCCACTTCCTACCAAGTTCTATTTATAAGGAGTCACATTTTTGCTTAGCTCCAGATTACAGAAAATATTCCCATTACCACAAGGATGACATTCACTTTTTATTAGAAGGATCATGCTTTAATTATCCATTGCTATATTTCTGTGTATATACATTTATCCCCAATAACGAGGAATATCAACTGGTAGTTTCAGAGACTCTAAGGATTAGGAATCACTGCAGTAAGTGATTGCAAGTGTCTATATGTCTCTAGGTCAGATAAGGGTAGTTTCTGAAAAATACATACTATCATTTTTATTTTAAACTTAGCTAAATTATGAAATTTGCTTGAGGGAATTCCCTGGCAGTCCATGGTTGGTTGGGACTCACTGCTTCTATTACAGGGGGCATGGGTTTGATCCCTGGTCAGGGAACTAAAGATCCCACATGCTGCATAGTGCAGCAAAAAAAAAAAAAAAAAAAACCCAGCTTGGAAAAGAACTGGCTTTTATTTAAAATGTAAACAAAACAAAAGAGGAAGCTATTTTAAAGCTTACTGAAGTGATGTCTTTAATAACTCTAACAAGAAACTATATCTGGATTTACCATTTGAAAAGTTTACATGTTTTAAAAATATTCAGGACTCCCCTGGTGGTCCAGTGGCTAGGACTGTCTGGGTTCCCAATGCAGAGGACCTGGGTTCAATCCCTCAGCAGGGAACTAGATTCCATATGCCTCAACTAAAGATCCTGCATGTTGCAACTAAGACCCGGTGCAGCCAAATAAAAATGTATTTGAAAAAAAAACTCAAAACAAGGAAAAAATGCTTAAAAAAAATCTGTTTTAAACATTTAGTGTTTTTGTTATTCAGTTTCTCAGTCATGTCCGACTGTGACCCCACGGCCTGCAGCATGCTGGGCTTCCCTGTCCTTCACCATCTCTCAGAGCTTGCTCAAACTCATGCCATCCAACCATCTCATCCTCTGTCGTCCCCTTCTCCTCCTGCCTTCAATCTTTCCCAGCAACAGGGTCTTTTCAAACAAGCCAGCTCTTTGCATCAGGTGGCCAAAGTATTGGAGTTTCAGCTTCAACATCAGTCCTTCCAAAGAACACTCAGGACTGATCTCCTTTAGGAAGGACTGGTTGGATCTCCTTGCTGTCCAAGGGACTCAAGAGGCTTCTCCAACACCACAGTTCAAAAGCATCAATTCTTCGGCGCTCAGCTTTCTTTATAGTCCAACTCTCACATCCATACATGACTACTGGAAAAACCATAGCTTTGACTAGACGGTTTGATTTAATATTAGCACTGACTGGTTTGATCTCCTTGCTGTCCTACTTAAGTGTGGTCCCTATTCAGGTCCAACGAATACTATCCCTAGAATTTTTGTAAAAGATCACAAAGGGACTAGACTTAAAAAGCCCACATTGTTTCCTACACTTTTGTTTCACCTGTTCCTGAGGACTACTTTGCAAGCAGCAAACATGAATAACTACCAAACACACAAAGAGGAATTCATTTTCACATGTCTTTGCTGAAAAAGATGGCCTGGTGGGGAAAGAGGGTTTTTTTTAAACCTTATAGAGATTGTGCCCACTAGCCTAGGAAAAGCAACCGAAGTGCCAATCTGCTAATGGCTGAGATTGTATCTAAAACCGTGTTCAAAGCTTCTGTAAAATTCTCTTTTCAATCCTTTATTTTCCATACAGGAATTCAATACTCTTCACATTCATTCCAACATTTACTTTGAAGAAAAGCTCTCTCACACACAAAAAAGGTCACAGTGGTGGGTTTTGGGGGGTTGAGGGATAGGAGTGGAGGTGGGAAGAGATGGGTAAAACAAAACAAATAATAATACTGAAAGATAAGTGATGAACAAATGAAATAGGGTTATGGTCTCCTTTCCTGATTCCTCTTGTTTTCCTTCATCTTTCTTTCTCCTTTCTGTACTTAACTGCAGAGGCAAATTTGTGCTGGGAAGCTATCAGGAACTTCAAAACCAATTCTTACCATTATAAATATCCAATACTAAGAATTATGGCAGATTTTTATTCAGAAGCGTGTTGTTTAGCCTCCATATGTTTGAATTTTTAATAATTTTTCCTGTAATTAAGATCTAATCTTACTGCACTGTGGTCAGAAAAGATGACTGGAATGATTTCAATCTTTTTGAATTTACCAAGAACTAGATTTATGGCCCAGGATGTGATCTATTCTGGAGAAGGTTCCGTGTGCACTTGAGAAAAAGGTGAAGTTGATTGTTTTGGGGTGAAACGTCCTATAGATGTCAATTAGGTCTAGCTGGTCCATTGTGTCCTTTAAAGTTTGTGCTTCCGGCACTCAGCTCCAAAGCTGGCACTAGGAAGTTAGGGGACAGCGTCGCGGACGAGGTAGCCGCCGCAGGTTTCGCCGCGGGATATAAGCCGGGATCTACCATACCCACTGATTAAGTATGGAAGACTATACCAAAATAGAGAAAATTGGAGAAGGTACCTATGGAGTTGTGTATAAGGGTAGACACAAAACTACAGGTCAAGTGGTAGCCATGAAGAAAATCAGACTAGAAAGTGAAGAGGAAGGGGTTCCTAGTACTGCAATTCGGGAAATATCTCTATTAAAAGAGCTTCGTCATCCAAATATAGTCAGTCTTCAAGATGTGCTTATGCAGGATTCCAGGTTATATCTCATCTTTGAATTCCTTTCCATGGATCTCAAGAAATACTTGGATTCTATCCCTCCTGGTCAGTTCATGGATTCTTCACTTGTTAAGAGTTATTTGTACCAAATCCTACAAGGGATTGTGTTTTGTCACTCTAGAAGAGTTCTCCACAGAGACTTGAAACCTCAAAATCTATTGATTGATGATAAAGGAACAATTAAACTGGCAGATTTTGGCCTTGCCAGGGCTTTTGGAATACCTATTAGAGTATATACGCATGAGGTAGTGACACTCTGGTATAGATCTCCAGAAGTATTGCTGGGGTCAGCTCGCTACTCAACTCCAGTGGACATTTGGAGTATAGGTACCATATTTGCTGAATTAGCAACTAAGAAACCACTTTTTCATGGGGATTCAGAAATTGATCAGCTCTTCAGAATTTTCAGAGCTTTGGGCACTCCCAATAATGAAGTGTGGCCAGAAGTAGAATCTTTACAGGACTACAAGAATACATTTCCCAAGTGGAAACCAGGAAGCTTAGCATCCCATGTCAAAAACTTGGATGAAAATGGCTTGGATCTGCTCTCGAAAATGTTAATCTATGATCCTGCCAAACGAATTTCTGGCAAAATGGCACTGAATCATCCGTACTTTCATGATTTGGACAGTCAAATTAAGAAGATGTAGCTTTCTGACAGTTTCCCTGTGTTGTGTCAAGAACAGATAATTGTATTTTTACTGTTCATCTCTGTTTTGTCTTGTGTATTTTTCTCTTCTTTGTTGTAAAACTTAATCTGTACTTCATCTTCTGATTTCAAAAGTAACTTAAAAATGTAAATACTGTTCTATATGAATTTAAATATAATAATTCTGTATATGTTTGTAGATCCCACTGTAACAGCTATTTGTTACTATAATAAAACTATATAAATCTAGTATTGATGTCAGGAATCAGGAAATTTGTAAGTTAACTCAAACCATCTAAAATGCTACCCCAGTCTTCTTTTCTTGTTGGAAATACTAAAATTTAGGAAACTGTGCTAAGTTCAAAGTTCATGTTGCTTTGAAGTATTTTTATACTGTTTAAATTTTCTTGTCAATTTCTTGCCATGTGGTAACTATACAACCTGCCTAAAGATGAATATTTTTCTACTGGTATTTCAATTTGTGACCTAAATGTTTAAGCGTTCAGAATGAGAGAACTATCTAGATTTGAGAGGCGAAGCTTACTTTATAGAGGTTTTTAGTAACTTGTAAAACTAGCATCAGTGTATGCCAAAGCTTGCTAAGTTTCACAGTCAGAGACCAAGTGCTGTCCACAGCAGGAAAGAGCAGTTTAGAAAATTTATGAGCTGTCCTATTTTTAGGTAGGCTATGAAAGTTATTCGTCTGAGTGAATTCTTGTGCTTTGGTCAGAGGTAATAACCATACAAAGGAGTTGCTTATCTTGGCTTTCAAGTCGGACTAAAACTCTTTGCAAATTTTGACATAGTTTAGTTTATTAGCAGCCTTCTTAGAAGGTTCTAATGTATAATTATTTAGCCAAGATCACTAGCTTTTGGAACTGTTTAATAATGCTGCTCATTGTGATTTTTACCTGTAAGTTGCCTAATATTAGATTGTTATAGCCAAGAGAAATGTCTCTAAAAATAATTTTTGTCATTTTTAGTGTACATCTATCCATTGGCTGCCCGTATGCGCTGCTTTTCATGGTGGTTACCCATGACTGGAATGAGCCTTCTTGTGTGGCTGATCCAGTTGATTGAGTATGTAATGGGTGATCTACCTAATCTTGTTGTCTTCTAATTTTTTCACTTGAAGAGAAAGTATGGGTCACTTTCTTTGGCAACAGGGCATAAGGTGAGAGGTTTGGTGGCCTTCTTCTAGGTCTTTTGGTGGAAGCCAGCCTGCAGTAAGGGAATGCAACTGGAGATGGAAGTTGTTTGAG